ACCGACCTCGGAAGGATGGAAGGCTGAGTCAACCTTGAGCTAGTCGGGATTGAACTTGCGGCGGCGGTCAAAGTTAGCCTACAATACAGTATTCTGACCACTGTGCCACCATTGCAAGGAAGGAAGGAAGGAAGGAAGGAAGGAAGGAAGGAAGGAAGGAAGGAAGGAAGGAAGGAAGGAAGGAAGGAAGGAAGGAAGGAAGGAAGGAAGGAAGGAAGGAAGGAAGGAAGGGGGTCAAAGGGAGGGAGAGAAAGAAGGAAGGAGGGTAGGGAGGGAGGGAGAGAGGAAGGAAGGAGAAAAGGGAGGGAGAGAAAGAAGGAAAGGATGGAAGCCAGCAATGGCAATAGCACTTAAACTTATATACCACTTCACAGTGCTTTACAGCCCTTTCCAAGCAGTTTACAGAGTCAGCCTGTTGTTCCCCAACAATCTGGGTCCTCATTTTACCGACCTTGGAAGGATGGAAGGCTGAGTCCACCTTGAGCCGGTCAGGATCGAACTGCTGGCCGTGGGCAGAGTTAGTCTGCAATACTGCATTCTAACCACTGCGCCCCCAACTTTACTCATATAAAATTGCCAGGTCTTTAAAGAGTCTGGTTAGACAGCCAGCATGAACACAACCACGATGGAAAATCTTTGGGACAAAGTTAACAAAGCCATGAAACAGAACTGAAATTAAACTGACAAGACTCTAATGAGCTGAAGAAAACCGTTACGAACAGGTTATACATTTATTTGAAGCTGAGGTCCTGCCACAAAATTCCCTACAGTTATGTCCATTGTGCTAGTCATCACTTACCACTTGTTATCGCAGAATTTGTATCGATGATCGTCGGCGGGGACGATATCAATCAGCAAGATGTACTTAGTCTTGGGGTTCATGCCGGTCACTTTCACTTTGTAGCTTGGAAACATCCTCCTTATGGGAAGGATGAAAGAAAGGAGGATGAGGAGGGGATGGGGATGGAGATGGAGAAGGAGATGGGGGGAAAGAGGGAGGAGGAGGAGGAGATAGAGATGGGGATGGAGAGGGAGAGGAGAAGGAAGAAGAAGAAGAAGAAGAAGAAGAAGAAGAAGAAGAAGAAGAAGAAGAAGAAGAAGAAGAAGAAGAAGAAGAAGAAGAAGAAGAAGAAGA